GTCTAAGTACTTAACTCACTTACTATTTATCCGAATGCTAATACAAAGATATCCAGAACGTAGGGAGAAGTGGGTTAAGGACTTCCATAAGGGAAATGAATATAAACAATCTCAGCCAAAATTAGAACTTTATTTGTTAACTTCTGTTTACTATGTTGCTTACACCATCCCATAAACTCAGCAGCACACATATACGTGTTTTCTTGGGGAAATTTTTCAATCCCTCCTTTTTAAGGACCCTCTTTTATTACATATTGACAAAAATTCTGACTCCCCAATTATTAAACCCCTTGAATCTAAGAATATATATGTGGTGTGTTTTTTAGTGGCCATAACAGATACTGTTAGTTGTTTATACGGCCTCTCAGTTTCCTGAAGGTTTCAATTTAGCTCCGAATTATTACTGTGGATTTCCATTGAATTCTAGTTTTTTTTTTCTCTTTTTTTCCTGGATTATTAAACTCTTAGGAAATATTGGAATCTTTTCACACTAAAATTGAACAATTAAGTTTCTTAGCATTTATATTCCAATCAATGCCAATAAAATCTACTTAAAGCGTTAGATATCACCAACATTGTGAAGGAATAGTTTACAGATTGAATAAAAACAAGAACGAATCGAACTATCACAAAAATATATAGTCAATGATCTTTAATCATTAAGTGTAAATACATTAAAATGTTTGTATATGATAATCGTATTATAAAGATATAGTATTTGAATACTTAAATCATTCGTCATATATATATATATATATATATATATATATATATATATATATATATATATATATATATGTCTGTGTCATCGAATGACAAAATAGAAAATCTCTTAAGTAACGCGTTACATCTCTAGAAGGAACTTCCTCAAAGAAATAATTACATTCACCTACGTGCTAATCCCCTTGGGAAAGGTATGAATCCTCTCCTCCCTCCAGTTATGGGTAAATATCAGGGGAAACCGGTGCCTTGGGTGGCAACTGGTCTACCGCAGAAAGAAATGGCAACCTACTGCGGGGAAAATTTGCCTCGTCAGTCATGTATCGAAAGATACATGATCGCCTAAGCCTGTATCAAGCATGGTATATAACTGACTAACTGATATACATACACCCCAGGTCAACATCTTAAGACCAGATACAAAAGGTTTAAAAAAATATAAAATACTGTTACTTTAATCAAAATATATTTGCGAAACATTTAAATTTAATTACAAAATGTAGTTTATCAACAAAGTGAAAATTTTAATCTTTTAATTGATTAATTTATGCAAACATTAAAAAAAGGGTCTGTTGTGCTGGTCATAAAGAAAAGACCATGCAAATAAAAATAGCAAATACGGAACAAATAAGTCACAACGACAATTTAATTCTCAGTATATCCTACATTTTTGCGAATTACTCCGAAAATTCGCTTTGGCATATGCATTCTTATCTTTTGCATGAGGGTGCTTGCCCAGGATGCTTGCCCAGGATGCATAAACTGCAGCACGAAGAGCATACACTGTTTCAAATTGTTTATAAACATCCTTTACCATCCATCTCCCAAACATTCTCGATTGGGTTTTGATCTGGAGAGCATTGTAGATTGCAGCATTGTTCTGATGGAAAATCCAGTTTTCTCCACATAGATGAGGGGCTTCAGTAATTAGCGATGCCTTTCTTAACATGTCAATGTAACTAGCAGCTGTTTGACGACCTTTTACCTCCTGTATCTCAAATGAACCCCAGACCATAATTGATCCACCTCCACAGTGTCGTGTTGAGAAAATATTTTTCGGGACATCTTTTGCATGCCAGTAACGCTGTAAATCGTCTGGGCCATCAAGATTGAATTTTTCTTGTCAGAAATCTACACTTTCTTCAATTTATCCATATTCCGATCGGAAGCAAATTGTAAACAGGAGGTTTTATGGCGAAGAAGGCGAGGACTCTGCAGCCGTTTCAAGTCCATAAACCCTTTCTTATTTAAATGTCGTCGAATTGTTCGGGATGTATTCAGCGTCTCTATTCGCTTTTATCTGATTTAATATTAGGCTTGAATCTCTCTTAACTTCTCGCCTAATGCGTTTGTCTAGAGATGGTGTGATTTTATTGGGGCGACCGCTTGATATTTTAGAAGCATACGCATCCGGATTTTTAATGAAGTTAGCAATGACAGTTCTGCTACGGCCAATTTCATTTGCAATGGTTCGTTACGAAAGACCACGTGTTTGAAGTTCAACTATCCTGCACTGTTCGAACTTTAAAATTTTACCCTTAGCCATTTTAAAATCTGAATTTTAATACTGGAAATGAGCTACGTAGATGTCTACACTCCTGAAGCTATGGACACACTGACTAGTTCTAAAGTTTTTGTCCAGTAATTTGTTTTTTCACACATGGTTCTAAAATTTTTGTCCAGTAATTTGTTTTGGGGGGCCGTCGATATCTGTGCTAGCACGAAATCACAAATCATCGTGACCAAGGGCTTCAGCGCGCTGGCCTTGTTCCAATTGTTCATCACGCTAGATAACACGCTCTTTCCCAGAAACTGTAACTAAGGTCTGATGAGTATAATTGAAGCATAAACCACAGGCGGGCTCTGTGGATGTTGAATAAACACACATGCGCCTGAGCATGTGTCTGCAATAGGGATTGTCTAGCCGCCCTAGTAGACGGGTATCCTCAAATACGAGTGGCCATATATATATATATATATATATATATATATATGAAGAAATATAGTCCTTAGGTGTGCTATATTTATGGGATAAAGTACTCAATATCAGAGATACAGCGTGTGTAAATATAAAAGTGAACATTGAAGTCAACACTTAGAGGCCACAGTCTGTTTGATGCTAGACGCAATCGTCAGGCCACGAGTGCTGTTATTTTACTCGGCTATTTATATATACGGGTCAGTGGTGCATTGTGGGTAGTCAATTTTGGCGGTATTTTGCCGGAAGTCGTTTATTTGTTTATTTATTTATTTGGGTTAAATTATTTTGCCTGTCATTATTTATTTTTATTTTTTTATATTTATTTCTTATTATATATATATATATATATATATATATATATATATATATATATATATATATTATTTTAATCGGTGTTTTTTTATTAACGTAGTAAAAATTTCTTTATATCGCTTATTTAATAGTTTTGTTATGTTTTGGTTTGGTAAGATAATTAATGCTATTTATTCAATTCCGGGGTTGATAAACTACAACGTTTATTGTAACTATTATTTTGGCGGGAGCAGTTTTTTAATTTGTTTATTACTTTATGTATTTATTTGGATTGATTATCTTTATTTCTTTTTTCTAACGGTTAATTTATCGGGATCGGTTTGTTAGTTTATTTATTTGGATGAATTTAGATTAATTTATTTTACTTGTTTTTTATTATTTATTTATTATACCGTATATTTTTATTTACTCTTTTCGGTTTTCGATTTTTAAGTAACGTAGTATTTTTTATCATTATATAACAGTTATAGCTATGTTTTTCGCCCGATTTTTTGTTCTATTTCGTCTATTCTAATGGGTGTGATTTGGTAATTTGTTTGGGTTATTTTATTTTACTTATTTTATTGTCATTTTGTTTATTTATTTTTCTTATTTTATTTTATTTTTTTCAGTTTTCGATTTTTAAGTAACGGGGTAAAAATTTGTTTTCATGTCTCCATTTTGAGATGAGCTCGGATCTTTTATTTAATAATTTATTTTGGTCTGGGAAGGTAATGATAGCTATTTTTTCCTCCAAGCAAAATTTGCCAGTTTTTGATTGGTTGTTGTAGGCTGATGATCTTTTCCTTATTTTTCAAAATATTTTTGGTGTGATGTGTATTTTGAGCAATGAATTAGAAAAAACATGATGTCTGTCATAATTAAAATGACGAGAAGCTTTTTTTTACTCACTCAATGCTTAAAGTAATTAAAGCATCTCAATTCTTTTGTAATAAAACAGTTTTATCGTTTTTAATACAAACTTGGCACTGAACAGTGGAACGTTCACTAAAGACTAAAACCTAGTAAATGAGGAATTCACCAGTTCGTCATTTAGTGCACTCCCAGACAGCTTTTCTTCCAGCAGACTGGCAATGGTAATCTTCTAAAACTGGATAAAATTAGAAATAAACAATGCTAGATGGAAAAATATTTCACAACTTAATAGAAAGAACAATGATATATGGCGCCTTACTGAAAATTATTCCTAATAATCCTAAAACTTAAGGCGCAAAACTCGAAAGTAATTCTATTTTAAAAATGGGTTGCTGCTAAATTCTAATGCAAACTAAAATTTATTCAGCACATGAATGTATTCAGAGTAAATTAATGATTTAAAAAATATAAACATATATAAAACTGTATCAATAGAGATTCTTTAAAGAATTCGCATGAAATTAACTCGAAATGACTGTTCTGCAATGAAGCCCTTGACCATGCCTTTCTCGCATACGTCAGTTTATGTATGTTGCCTATTACGTGACTCTGACACATGACCTGGTGACACGTAAAGGAGGATATAATTAATTACTATGTCTTAATTGCAAATAGCTTCCTTTCCACACGGACAGAATAATGATGAGAAACAATACCGATGGTATGTAAACGTCCACTTTCTTGGTTCTTAGGTCTCCCGCAAAATATATATGGTATATATTCTGATATATAAAATCAACTCGTATTATTCGGCTAATGCACATTGAAGATTTTCAAAATATATGAAGTCGTATTTTCACTTACATTAACATTTATTTTTAAAAAATATTCTATAAATTAATTCTATAATTTTCAAGGCTTTGTTTTTAATTTCAGTATTTTTATAGTGTTTATGATATATTTTAAATTAGTTAGCAATTATTCACATTTAATTATCACGTTTTTATGTTTGTCTTTCATTGTTTCTTATTTACCTTTTCTCTTTTCATTCTTCTCATCGCGTTCTTTCGTTATCATTTTCGGCATTTTCAGTTATATTCACAATTCATTTAATCTACCATGTTCTTATTAGTCATTTCATTTCTCTCTTTGTTTATCTCCCTATCCCTATCTATCTATCTATCTATCTATCTATCTATCTATCTATCTATCTATCTATCTATCTATCTATATGTGTGTGTGTATTTATCTGTCTATTTATGTATCTGTCTCTTTGCCTGTCTATCTTCATTTAAATTGCAAATGACCTAGGCTGAATAATTTTGAAATCCGTGATAATGTGCATTTTGTAATCATTTTAAAACTTACCGTAGTCAAATGTTATTACTTATTTCAAGTATAATTATTTATTGATATATTTTAACAAGAAATATTTATCTGTCTTATTCAAACAAAAAAGGAAAAACTATTCATTCAACTTATATTTCGCTTTTTTTTGATAAAGTAAAAAATTTTGAAATCATCATTTTCATTACAAGTGAAAAATTGAACCTCATACATGTATGAATTTATTAAACTTTCTTTAATTATTTATTTTATTCCATCTGTATTTCTTATTCCGTTGATTCGACTGATTTAGCGTTTCATTTTTTATTAACTGTGTCGATGTTTTTATTCGCCTTTAATGTATGATATATCAAAAATCACTCCTTAAAAAAATTGAAACGTCACAAAATAAAGAATTATATAACTATTAATGATTGCATTTTCATCTGGTTGCGCTTGCTGTAAATCAAGTGACAGGATACTTGAAGACAAGACAACAAATTCTCAATAGTGTTAGACATATCAATAATACGATTTGAATGATTTCATTTCTTCCTCATATTTCCAATTCCTTTTGTCGTGTTATAAGAGTCTTTGGGACAATTCTCTACGTTACAATCGCTCTGGTTCGCGATTGTCGACTTCCCATTCAACAATATTTTTAATTTCTCTAACAACACCCTGTATTTATTCTTCATTCACTGTCTTTCAGTTTCAGCATTCTCAAAGCTTTACAATGTATAGATCTGCTCACCTGGACTGGATACGGTAATCTCTTTTAATTTCAAAGTTTCAAAGAATCTTACTTTTTCAATTCTCTGGCAAAGTTTCAGATTTCTGCTTATACAGTTTGTTTGCAAATGATTAAATCCAAATTTTTATCAGTTGTACACGCTGAACTTTTCACACCAAAATGTTTCACTGGAGATCAAGTGACAGTAAGTTTCCTTAAATACTTTAGTATTCGCGATTATTTTTCATTTATGCTCTCATCTGAAGGTTTCATTTCTTTCTCCGATTTCGACTTCATATTCTTATTTTTTTTCTACTTCGATACTGTTTCAAGTTTGGCATTAATGATGAGTCACAACTTTTCATTTCTCGGACATGGTCTAAACATTATTCAGCTTTTCTTTCTATTTTATTCTAGAGTCTAATTGAGTAATTACATCCACTGACAAATCTTTACTGACAATGACTATATGGAAAACGTTATATATATATATATATATATATATATATATATATATATATATATATATATATACACACACACACACACACACATATATATATATATATATATATATATATATATATATATATATATATATATATATATAGAACAATTTTAGGGATATATAATTTTTATATACCAAAGTTGTTCTTGAAATATATAAAAATTATATAACGTTTTCCCATAATGTTGACATGAAAAATACCAAACACTTACAATGACTAGATTTTGTCCCCTGGCCTGGTTAGGGTTGTTATTTGTATGCTTAAATCTCATAGAATTTGCCTTCTCTTTTCTTTTTCTTTTTTTTTCTTTTTTCTTTTTTTTTTTCTTGATAAATTCTTCAACACAGGTCCCAGACAACACTTTTCCAGTTCAAAAAAATATAAAATCTGCTTTAAAGAATCTGCGTTAAAGAAAGTAAGTTCTGCAAAAGGTCGTCTATAATAATAATAATAATAATTTTAGTAATTAAATGACATCGTTTAAGTTGTACACTCAGTTGTTCGCCACAGAAACTAAACAGATTTTGGTTAAGAAATGGAACCACACTAATCACCAAAGCAGTTTATTTTTTAATGGTTATCTGATCCATACAACATGGTAGAATCTAAGATTAATGATTAGTGTGGGATTGACATCTACAGTAGAATGATATTCGCTTATATAGTTTACCTATATGGCCAGTTATGTGGAAAAATGAAAAGAAAACGTTTTCAACACTATTTTGAAGATGGAATATTCTTAGAACTTCTTGTTTTTATCATGGGAAGAATTTATTTCTGTGAGATAGAACAGGATTACGAAGTGTGTGTCCGTGTTAAAATGGACACATATCTGCATGAGTGAATGATATTAAGAGTGTGCGTGTGTGTCGTAAAGACAGAAAGTATGAAAAAGTGAGTATGCTGAAGTTAATGTGTGCGTTGTTTTAATGCTGTGAGTTATTTGAAGACCGAAGTGATGTTGACTGTCAACGAGTAAAATTAACAGAGCAAAGGTCTCAAAGGCTAACTTAATGGAATCAGGCAGAATTAATTGGGTAAATCTTGACTAGCTTGTCACTGTCACCTGCAGGCCATCACTTTGCCACTTGGCACAGATATACGAGACGTTTGTTATTCATTGGTATTTTGTATAGAATCGACAAGTTAGCAAGTGAAACAAACTAGATTGACAGTTAAAATAACAGAAAAGAAATATGACAAGTTATATAACAAATCGCTTTAATGTTTTAAAGCCTAAACTGTAAGTATCGAACATTCGAACTATTGGGATAAGAAAATCTTTAACGATTTTATTTTTAGATTCTTTTTTAAACGGGGGACTATGCCTTAGAAATATTCAAGAACATTAGGAAACTGTTGAATGGAACATTTTTAAAAATACGTTTTACTGCTTCATTACGTTGAACTATTTTTAATTCTTGTCCTTGGCTTAAAGTGTCTTCATTGATTTCGTATTCCATGATACTTATTTCCTGATTTATGAGAAGACTACGGAAAATGTGACACAGAAATCCAAAGTCGCACTAGAATAGCGAAAGAAAGCTAAGCAAAGTAATAAGAAACAGAAAACATTCTAATTTTTGTTCTTTTATTGTTCTTTCTCCTTAATAGTGTTTTTTTTTCTCATATTCTCTCACAATCAGTAAACCCCCTTGCTTCTTAGTGGCTTTATTGCCTTTCTTGTGGTGAAATGATTAAAAAAATTGTTTGTGAATTTCAAAGATTAAAAATTCATCATTGTCTATAATATTCTTTTGACTGTTCATATATACGACCGTTACTTTTCTAACTGAACCTTGATTCTTCTGAGTTAGAATCAGTTACACTTTCTGACCGAGAAGCCTATATAAGATTAATAATAATAGAAAGTGACTTGGAAAATCGAAGAAAAAAGAGGATATAAGGATAAGTGGTAAGGTAAGTGTCAAGCTTTTGCCTTACTAGGTGTGAAATGATTAAAAAATAAAAGATTAACTGATAATATAAAACAAACTTCTTATGAATTGGAAACCATGTGGAATATTACATTTCACAAGAATGGAAATCAAAATAAACTTTTGGATAAAGTACAGAATGAGTCACTTAGATGCTGGATTAAAATTTCTATACACTTTATACTTAGCAGTTAGAAGTGGATGCAAAAGAGATTCCAGTAATAACATCTGTATGATAAGATGTGGTGTGTGCGATGTATATATAGATATAAATATTATTCATTTGCATGTGTGTGTGTGTGTGTGTGTCTGTGTGTCTGTGTGTGTCTGTGTCTGTGTTTATAAGGCTAAATTGTAATGTCTGTATACAGTTAGAGCATGCAACAACTGTAGAATATGATTTTATCACAAAAATTGTGACATTTTAATCCACATTTTATTTAGATTTTTATTTTTCGACTTCAGAAATCAGAAACAATTCTTCATTTACAGTTAAACACCAGATCAAAAATTACAAAGATATGATTCAGTACTTATTTTTTATTTCCCAAGTTCAAATTATTGACATTATAACTGACGTTACCTGAGCGATTTTACAGAGAGGAAAGAGACATAAGGAGCTGATGTAAATTCTTGATTGTTGCATCGTATTGAAAATTATCAACCGATTCTTAAGAAAAAAACACGTAGCTTTCTCAGAGAGCAATGTTAAAAAAACTTATTATTTTCATTGATAACTGAATTATAATATGGTTTATCGAATGTCCTCCCCAGTCTTTTGAAAAGCAGTAGATGTTGTTTCTTTTTTTCCGGTTCCTTCTAAAGTCTACTTCAACTCTATACTACTAACGCAACCCTCTACCTTGAGTGGCCCTTGACCCTTGTTTTTGTGAACCTTAGTAAAATAAAAAAACAATGTGTTATCTGTGGTATTAATAATCTTTTATTTGTACGATATTTGCATCGGACAATGTAACGATCTCTGTATGAATCGGATACCTAATAACTAAATGTGATTTGTACGAGGAGTTCTGACAAATTATCGTTCACTATTCAAAATCTGACCAAAAATTAGATTTTCTTTTGTTGTTTTGTTTTGTTTTGGAGAAGAATTCTTAATCTGGCTGATAATTTTTCAATACCCTCTTCGTAAGAAAAAACTATACTTTTATTTTCACTCTTTAGGGTGATTACAAATTATTGTTTCTCGAACATACATCTCTTAAATTACTTGAATTGCAAAAAGTCAGTGGATAATTTTTCTAAAGCTATTTTTCCTGTTGTTATAAATTATTTGTAGCAGTTTCTGTCTTCTGTTCAGTCCAACTATGCAATGAGGAATACTGAAAAATCATCGGCCCAACCAAGAAGCTCTTCCAAGAAAATTCTGGTGATTGGATGATTTTGGAAAGCTGATCGGACCGAGAAAATTTCAACACCCTCTAGTATAAGCTTTATTAATTAATAATAACAGATTACATTCTATATATCAACAAACAACCCACAGCGCGTGAAGAGAGTAGACAGTGACTATGAATGTCTGTGTGCTCGTAGCTTGCTAATAACTACACCACAATAAGGCGATTATATAAGTACACAGGCAATAGGAACAGCTATAAGTTCGCAACCTGACGATAAAAAAATATTTATCTTTCAAAATAGCCGACATCATTGCCAATGCACTTAATTCACTAGTGAATATTAATGACATAAATTAAATATTATACACTGAATTTTTCAAATAAAAGTCAACTCTATGTACCAAGCGACATATGATTTTTATATCAGTTAGTTATGTGCCATGCGTGATACACACATAGGCGATCATGTATCTTTCGATACATGATTGACGAGGCAGATTTTTTCCCCGCAGTAGGTTGCCATTTCTTCATGCGGTAGAACCAGTTGTCATTCAAGGCCGGTCTGTCCTCCTGCTTTACCCATAGATGGCGAAGATGATGATTCGTACCTTTCCCAAGAGTATTAGCACATAAGTGAAAGTAATGGATTAGACTGGAATTCGAACTCGGCTTTCCGATTCCTCAATCCGAGCTGCTATCCATTTCTCCACCGTGCCTTATATTTTATCAAAAACAAGCCTTGACAAGTGGACCTACACTACGAAACTGCATACATACATATATACATCGACTATCGCCAATTCAGCCGGGTTTCGATCCTAGCCACACTGATGAGCTGTGATACAGCGAAAAGTCTGTTTGTGGATGATATTATATATATATATATATATATATATATATATATATATATATAATTTTTGGGGGTTGAACGTTATTTTTTAAAATGGATACTCATATTTGAGTAGATGCTCTATTTTTATTTATTTATTAAACAATATTTATTTATTTATTTATTTACATCTACCGGCCTGAATATCCGAGAAATCTTCTTAGAAAAATATAAGCCTTCCAGTATAAGGTTTGTGTTTTTAACAGTTCAAAGTTTCAAACTAATGAGTTTTGACT